AATAATTCGTTATGTAGTTTCCTTTCCATATAGCTACATTTTCCCTAGGATTCCATATATATATATATATATATATATTTTTCATTTTAAGTTACTGTTTTATTTCTATTCAACCGACAAAATTATAAACAGAGAGAAAAATAGTTTTTGTTTCTTTTAACCTTTTTCGATCTCTACTAATGCAATCTACAATATTATATCCTTTCTTCAAACTAAATGATCTGAGCCGTTAAACTGTGTTATGATCTAGATCCAACGATCTAAACCGTACATTCCGCTTTTTTATTTTTACATGTGCATACAGTCAACTTTGTATACGTAGACACACTTGACTCTGTTTCGTCTATTTTTACCCATTTTGACCTCCCACATTGCGAAACGGTGAAAATCTATATAGGGTTACTTTAGTCATTCAATAATCCTGTCGAAAAAACACAACACTTCTCTTTAACGGTTTCTCCGGATATCGAATTATATGGAGCAGTTCAATTAGTGTGTGTGTTTGGTGCATTCTCCAATAAACATGAATTTCAAACATTATTAATTATAGTTTCGCATTATTTATTTTATTATCATATATGCCAATCATTGGTTTTCTTCTCTAGATTCGCAAATTTTTTGAGATTTCTGAAATATCTGATGACAATCTTTTGTAAAAAATTTAGATCCGACGACAGCGAGTGGAACCAACACGCAGTGACGAATCCAGATGAAGTCGCTGACGAAGTTCTCGCCATGACTGAAATGTAAGTACTTGTAATTATTATCTCTCGAACTTACCATGTGAATATAGACTAATATAGTGGAGGAAAAAAAAGTCACAAGAGTACAACAATATTGGGTATGGTCCTATATATAAGTCCTAACTATTATTATTCATTGTGTGTGTTGTGACTTTTGTTTTCATTCTATTGTTTTGTTGAATTGAATCAAGATCTATCCTACAAGAGCTGTCACATTTATTTCTCCTCTAACTAACTTACATTCGTTTTATTTTTATTTTTTGTGTTACTAATATTATCATACCTCGTCTATTATATATAAATCCCCATGTTCGTTCACACAGACACTATATTATATAGGAACTATGACAAATATAGTGTATGCGATTAATTTATTCTTGCTACTACTACTGAGATCTATTCCCGTGAACAATTGGCATTCATTAATTCTGTCAGTATCTTTTTTTTTTTATATATATATCACCTACTATACATGTTTCATGCATTGATATTTTAAAAAGGTATTATTCATTCTATATTTTCTCTTTATAGTATTTTTCATTGATTTATAACTATTTATTGCTCGTTTTTGTTTTCAATTGAGTTGAACTAATACTTCCAGCAGACAGTGTTCACTCCAAACACCACATGCACTTACACTAGGCAGATCCGCGTCCCACGCATTATTGCATTTTTTTTTATTTAAGTTATAAATAATTCCCAACATTAAATGTCTTTTATGTTACGAAGTCGTTAAATTTTACTTCGAAAATACGTACGTTCAAATTATCCTGAAATACTTTATAGTATATAAAATAATAATAAGAAAAATGTATATTAATCATTTTAGAAAGTACCCCCATGTGGTCGTAGCAGAGCAAATTTACGCTTTATACGGTCACAAAACCAAAAACGGTATCCGTTAAAACGGACGGACTCGATCGTCGTTTTCCAACGGTGATTATTTTGTTTGTCCTCGTTTAACGGTTCTCTCTAACGTCGTTTGGCTTTCAGGAATCTTTTAGCCAGATAACCTAATCCCACCGACACACGTCTATGGGGAAAAAGAGTCTAAAACTATATACTAGTAGTATTTATCATCAACCATGTGCACATGTTCTGATGTGATTTTGATTGTTTTCTCAAATAATCTTTTTTTCTTTTTTCATGGTTGAGAATAATGAAATTTAAAAGTGGATATCTAAACCGGATATGATTCTAATTTTTTTTTACAGGAGTGCGAGAAACCATACCGAGAGGAGGAAACTGGGTTACTTTACTTGCGGTACAGGCAACCCTATCGACGACTGTTGGCGGTGCGACCGCAACTGGCACAAGAACCGCAAACGCTTAGCGGACTGCGGGATCGGATTTGGAAGAAACGCCATTGGTGGTCGCGACGGGCGTTTCTACGTTGTCACTGACCCAAGAGACGACAATCCGGTTAATCCTAGACCGGGGACTTTACGTCACGCCGTGATCCAAGACCGACCGTTATGGATCGTTTTCCAACGCGATATGGTGATCCAGTTGAAACAAGAGCTCATCGTTAACAGCTTCAAAACGATCGATGGACGAGGCGCAAACGTCCACATCGCTAACGGCGGTTGCATCACGATTCAGTATGTAACGAACGTGATCGTCCACGGATTGCATATTCATGATTGTAAACCCACTGGTAACGCTATGGTGAGAAGCTCTGAGACCCATTTTGGGTGGAGGACCATGGCGGATGGTGATGCTATTTCGATCTTTGGCTCGAGTCATGTATGGATTGATCACAACTCTTTGTCTCATTGCGCTGACGGGCTTGTCGACGCAGTCATGGGCTCAACCGCGATCACCATCTCTAACAACCACTTAACTCACCACAACGAGGTTCTTTTTGAAGTCTTATTGCTATGTTACTTTGTTTGGAGCTTCTTTTATGGCGGGATTCAGTTTTTGATCATATGGTTTGATCTCTTTTTTCTACAGGTCATGTTGCTCGGACACAGCGATTCGTACATGAGGGACAAAGCTATGCAAGTGACCATTGCTTATAATCATTTTGGAGTCGGACTTATTCAAAGAATGCCGAGGTAATATAAAAGACATAACAAAAAAAAACAGAGTACGCTCTGCTTTTGTGTTCTGTTTCTGTGTTATGTTATATGAACAATACGATTTAATTCTTATTGCAGGTGTCGACACGGGTACTTCCACGTCGTGAACAACGACTACACTCACTGGGAAATGTACGCCATTGGTGGAAGCGCAAACCCGACAATCAACAGTCAAGGAAACCGCTACGCCGCCCCGAAAAACCCTTTTGCCAAAGAGGTAATAATAATAACTCGATAAAAATCAGTTAAAACAAAGAGCGATCTTGTGAGCAGAATTTTTTGATATTCGAATGTTAATTTTGATAGGTGACAAAGAGAGTGGACACACCGGCTAGTCATTGGAAAGGATGGAACTGGAGATCGGAAGGAGATTTGCTTCAGAATGGTGCTTATTTCACTTCTTCAGGAGCTGCCGCGTCCGGAAGTTACGCACGTGCCTCTAGTCTCTCCGCGAAATCTTCTTCATTGGTCGGACACATTACTTCCGACGCCGGAGCTCTACCTTGTCGCAGAGGACGTCAATGTTCATCATAGTTGCCACTTGCCACCCCTTTACCACCAGATTCAAAACCACCTTCCATTATATTCAGACAAAAGTGTACATTTTCACACATTTGTCATTTAAAAAGCCAATTATCTTCTTTCTTTTTTTTCGGTGTGTGTGTTTGTGTCGATTTTTCTCAACCTCGGGTTTGCTTGCTTCAACCGCAAGTTAACACAAGAAAAGGGAGAAAAAAAAAACAACCTTTCATGAAAAAGAGAAATCCCCGAAGTGTTGTTGGTTCTGTCTGATCAACTCAGATTGTTCTTCCTCTGTCTCTGTCTTCTACTCAGAGAGAAGCAAGAATAATATCTCTTGTTTTTTCTTTATCTTCTTGTATTTTTTGAGGTTTATAATTTAAATATAGGGTCTAAATGATTTGTGAATCTTTCTACTTTTCATTGTATTATATTTTTGTTGGCTGGATTTTTAGCTTTATTTTCCCATGTGGTTGTAACTTATCATGATTGTACTTTGTAGCGATAGAAGCAAGCAATCACGCAATATTAGTAATTGTGGGTTTATAAAAAAGCTTTACAAATTCGTATAGCCAGCTATATTATCACTCAGAATTGTTTTATTTTATTTTTCTCAATATGCTTTCCTTATCATGTGTAACTCTAAAAAAGCAAACAAATATATATTAAGTATCTACAAAATATCAATTTTGGTATTAGATATTTTTGGTGGGGGAAATTATATAGTCTACAGAAAGTATAGTATTAAATCGAATTAGTAATATATTTTTTTCCTCTTAAAAGCATATCTTTTGTTGGGAAGAAAAAATTAGCGTATCGATTTTTATTTAGCTTTTTTGCATTGGAAAGTAAATCGTACGTAAACATAAAAAGCAAGAGAAGCCTAAAACACGCTAAATCGACTCCATGTGCCCACCACCACCCACACATGACAACAAATTAATGAAATCAAAGAAGCAAAATGTTCCGACAAATAATGATAACCTTTTATTTCCACCATCATTAGGGGTTTTAATTCAGGCTAATCATCATTATCTATAACTTACTTAACAGGCAAATCAAAAATCATTTATCTTTTGTTAAATAACTCTATTTGCTTAGCAGGCTGTTAACATTGCTAAATTATATATTTTTAAAAAAGGAGTATCCTTGTACATGATTAAAAATATCAAAATTTCACAAATTTTGGGAAAACATAAAATATTGATTCAAATATCGGTTTTAAAATCAAATGATTTATATATACACTGGTGGATAACACGTTTTGTTATTTAAAAAAACATTATTCCAGTAAGTACCTTTATGGCTTTACCCAACCAACAAATCAATTAACAACAGTCTCTTTTCCTCCTTCAACGCAAAGCTCAATCATATATCTCTAAAGACGCTACACATAAGTATTTTACATTATTATGCTACAAAAGCTGAGACCAAGTTTCAACATAGTCCAGAGCTTTTCCAGTTGGGTTTTGTAACAGTTCAAAGCTTTTTTTTTTTTCCAAAGCTTTTCAGTCCTTTTAAAAAACTTTGTAACCACGGTAAATATATAATTTGGTTAGAGTTTTCATGTAGATTTATAATCAAATCCATATAATTACCAAATCAAAACTTTAACTTTTCTTAACATAACTTTATTGAGACATACATAGATAATATCAATATATATATATATATATATAGATTATATATAGTTACTTATCACCAAGTATCTTGTTCTTGATGATATCAGTAGCGGTTTTAGCGGTGCCTAAAACGCCGGAAACTGAACCTTTTGCTTTCTCAGTGATGGTATCCGTCGTCTCAGTAACTTTCTCCGTTACATCTTTTGTCATCTTAGTCACCTGATTAACCAAAATTAATCATATACTGTAATATCAATAAATCACAATTAAATATCTGGAAACAATATTAATGGATTTGGGTTTTGGTAATTACACGGCCAGCGGTAGTGGAAGCGACTTCTTGGATGTACTCGGTGGTTTCCTTCACTTGCTTTGCTCCTTCTTTCACTGCCTCTGCTGCTTCTTTCACTTTCTGGCATTGCTCCGCCTCTTCTTTTCCCTTACCATAATTAATTACAAAATTTCTATTATTCAACCCATTACAAAATGTATTAATTTTCATTACAGAAATATAATAGACCAAAGAAGACTGGTAATCTTTTTGTTTGTTTCTCACCTGTAAGGGTCTTGACGCTGAAACGAATGCCCTACGCAGTGGAAGACTCCTTGCCGTTTTACCATTCGAGATCAGAAGTTCGCCCAGTCTTGATGCATGCATTTTACCTTTGTGGAAGTAAAGCGTTAGAAGACAAGTATGAGATTGAAGAACGTTGAGTATAGTTAATGTCGACCACAAATCGGAACGTTTGGTTAAAATCCTAAGACGCAATCTCTAATTAAAAGCTTTATTTATATATAACTATCCCTTCCTTCGCGGTCTCAATTATGATCGTCCGAATTATATTATTTTCAATTGTTTTCCTCTATTGTTAATGAAAGTGTCAGGTTTGTCTGGTTATGAGCATTTATAGGGTTTTTTTTGTGGTTTGTCTTTGACAAAACTATTTTTTCTCAAACCCCCGTTGTTCGGCTATAGACTCGATATGATCTTTAATTTGTTTTTTTCTTAATCTTGTAATAATTACTGTCTAACGTATATATGTACTGGCGTACTGCTATGATATATATAGTTGAAACGTCAAATGTCTTAGAATGATGTAATTTTCGTATTATTTAGTTAAACTACAAAAAATGAAATTATAACCGAATTAAGTTTTAGTTCAAAATTCAAATGACTCGCTTGCTATAGTACACATGAAGTCACTAGCCAATTAAAATTTAGTTAAAAAGAAATATGAATCAATATTAAAACTCGACCAATCAATTGTCCATGGTATAGTTGTATCATCAGACAGCCTTTACTAAGGAAAATATGTTATAAATTGGGTTCATAGCCAAATTTATGACTTTCAACTGTCACCAACCTTACATTTTGCTATATAAACCCTAAGACACTCATTACAAACCTCAAAAACATACAAGACGTTCAATAGAATCTAGAAAAAAGGAGAGGAGAGAAGAGAGAGAGAGAGAGAGATGTCGAGAGTTTTGTCAGTCGTTTGTGTCCTGCTCGCTATGGCATTGGTCCATGCACGTGCTCGTCACGTGCCGGGAGTGTCTGACGAGGGCAAGACGACGACGCATGACGACACAACAACGATGCCCATGCATGCAAAAGCAGCTGATCAGTTACCACCAAAGAGCCTCGGCGACAAAAAATGCATCGGAGGAGTCGCTGGAGTCGGTGGATTCGCCGGAGTTGGTGGTGTTGCTGGCGTGGGAGGTCTAGGGATGCCACTTATCGGTGGTCTTGGTGGGATCGGTAAATATGGTGGCATAGGTGGTGCAGCTGGAATCGGTGGATTTCACGGTCTAGGCGGCGGTTTAGGAGGAGTAGGAGGCGGTGTTGGTGGCCTAGGTGGTGTAGGAGGCGGCGTTGGCGGCCTAGGTGGAGTCGGAGGTGGGTTAGGCGGTGTTGGCGGTGTAGGTGGTGTTGGCGGGGGTATTGGTAAAGCAGGTGGTATTGGAGGTTTAGGTGGAGCCGGAGGTGGTTTAGGCGGTCTAGGTGGAGTTGGTGGTGGTGGTATCGGCAAGGCAGGTGGTATCGGTGTTGGTGGTGGTATCGGCGGTGGACACGGCGTGGTCGGTGGTATACTCGATCCACATCCTTGATGAAGAAGAAATTAAGCATTAGTAGAGGGCTTTTGTTGATTAGGGTTTGATTAAGAATAATTATTTAGCTCGGATGTCATTGTTGGTGTTTTTAAGTTGGGTGATCAGAATTAGCGTGACTCGTGTGATCTATTCTCTCGTTTAAGTTTTCGTTTTGGAACGTTTAATTTGCTTCGATTTCGGACCTTCCTTATGTTATGTTACTTATGTAATATGTAACTCTCTATTTATGTTTAATCGTTTTTTTGGGTTTAATTATGAGGTTCTCTCATGCATTTCCTAATTTTGCATGCATGTTCAAAAGAAGCTTAGAAAAAATAGCTAAAGGCTTTAATGTCCAACGAATTTTGTGAACTTATTATATTAAAATATAAAACCTTAAAGTGGAAACAATGTTACATTAACCCAAACGGTCTATAACTCGTATATAATTGGCTTATAAAAAACTTAATGATCAGTACGAGCTAAGTTTTTTTTCCTTTTCTAAAGGAATAAATGGCACGAGATGTAAATTGAAGTTAAGCTATATAAAGTGACAGGAGAGGGCTTGCTTCCATTTATGCATGAAAACATATATAGTATGTATATAGCTATTTTTTCTCAAATCTCAACGAAACCGTTTAAAGAAAGTAAAAGATCAAAGTTTATATATACTAATTAATTTATATATATAGTATCCAAATTAAATGTAAGTAGTCTAGTTGTAGAACATTTTGTACGTCTGTAATTAAAGAGGATGCGTTTGGAGTTGTCCGGTTCAAATCTTGCATGCTTATTAGGTCATGACTGATAAACATATATGAATGTCATTCCAGAGCTCCCCGACTAACATATACTCCAGTACTCTTATGTATATGCATCTCAGTATTTAGTATTCAAAAAGGAATTAAGAAGACAGCAAGAATCCACACAATGTAATTAAGCATTAATAAATGAGAAGGTAATAATTGCGTTGGGATGAGATTGGGACAAAAATTAAAGAAGATACACGATCTGCATGTCAAACACTTGTTGTCCCATTTCATGCCATCGTCCCCTCTCTTAAGTCTATTTCGCTGTCTGTCCCAAACTTCAATTTACATCTCATGCAATTTATTACCACATCTACATATACCTATCCTCCTCTCACGTATATATATATATATTTTTCTTTCTTTTTGTTTTTGTATATATATATATATATATATATATATATATATATATATATATATTAGCTGGTTAAAAATCAGAGTTGATAATTTTAATCATTTAAAAAGAAATTTATAATTACATCCACAAAACTCAATTAAAAAAAAAAAAACAGACAAGAGAAAGATTTATGTTTGATTTAATTTGGGTTTCAATTTGAATAGTGGACCGAATAGAAAAGCCGCCTACTGGGAATTGAGCTTCTTAATAAAGCCCAATTAGGTCCATCGGGCCTTAAAATATCTTTTATATTCCACCTTTTTTTGTTTTGTTTTTATAAATAAATAATTCGGAAAGCGATTGCAAGTTTAGTATGGCGGATAAAAAATTTCCAATATAGCCGAAAAAAGTAAAGAGCGGGAAGCTCAGAGCCGGCGATTCTTAGTTCTCACACTGCCAAACCCAAAAAATTCCCATTAGAGAGAGATGGAGAACAATGCGATGAAGATTCTCGAAGAGATCAAATCTTCCGATGTAAGCTTCTCTTTCTTTTCACAGCTTCGATGATTTGATTTTCTAGGTTTCTGTATATATTCTCCAGTTAATACTGTTTCCGGTAGTGATTTTAACGGATCCTCTCTGTAGAATCAAGAAATTTACTTGTGATTGCTTTGGGTTTCCATGATGTTTCTCATAATTTTGTCGTCCGATTAAGGTTCTTTGTACCGAGTTCTCTTCAATTTGATTGGTATGGATTGAAGTTGCTGCAGCTTAATGTATATTTTTCATCTGAGGTGTATGAAGAAGGAGTAGGAACATTAGGATTTGTTAATTATTCAGAATGGATTCAAGCTGAGGAGTCTTGCTATATTTTTTTATAGATTGATTCGGAAATTCTATTGGTTTTTTGTTGCTGACGAGCTTCGCTTTTTTTCTTCATCAGCTTATCGAGAATCGGGTTCAACTACTCGCACGCCTTAGTCAGTTAGATTTAGAAGAGAATTCTGATTTTCCCTCTTTTGTGCAGAACCTAACAGTATCCTCACATACCTTTTTTTTAAATGTTTCTCTTCCTTTTTCTAAGTTTTGCAATATCTATTAAACTATGTTTGAAATTGAGATGTGTATATCCAAAATCTCTGTGAGTGTGATTGGTGGTTTCGATATAATTAAGTGAGCACTTCAGAGGTGAAGTTATATCTGCTTCATGTTTCATTAGGGTTCTGATGATTAGACACATGCTTTAAGTGGTCTGTTATGTGGCATGTTTCAAGTATTCCTTCACAGCTGTATAGACACTCTGGGAAGACTTCACTTGTCTTGACGTTAGCCAATGTTTGTTGAACAAGGCAATTCTGCCTGTTACTTCTAAATACCTTGCTTTGGATCGGCCTGATTGCTCACTCTACTTTCTTGCTTTTGGTATTAAGGTACAATGTTTTTCATTTTTTTCTGCTTATTGCTCTACCTCAGCTTTAGTAGTCTTGTTGTTTTTTCTTTTCTCACTCTTCTTCCTCTAGGTAAGCCAATGGTGTGCAAAACATTTAAATATGTCTGTAATGTCGATGGAGGAGTCTCAAGAGGAAGAGCATTCCAACATTTTCTTTCAGGTTAGTGATGCTTGATGGTACTGTACGGTAAAGTCTGTCACAGCTAAGTGGTTTCTGGGAAACTGAATTTTGCAGTCATTGTGATGCAGCTTCTTTTGGATTATCTTCGCTTTTCTGCCTCAAGTTTTACTGCTATTGGAAAAACATGTTTCTTGAGTGATCAGGCCTCAGCTGTTACAGTTCATAAGTTTGTTTCGGAGCAGCTGAATTTAATAAAGGAGGTGGTATTGAATGCCAAGGTATCTTTGAAAATCATCTCAATCTTTCACTAGTTGCTACTCGTACTGTATCATAAAACTGGTTCTTTAACATTTTTTTTTTAAAATTGAAGTTACATATTACTACCGTAAACTGAGATTAGTATTATTGCATTCTTGTCATCGGTTTATAGCTTTCACCTTTCTTCTGTAACAGAAAGTTGAATCCTTTTCCTCGGAGATTCTTAAGGCTGTACAAGTAGTAATTGACTCTATTGTTCGTCTGTGCAAAATGTACTCCTCAACAGTGTATCAGGCCGTAAATGAAATCAAGACTAATGAAATTGTTGGGAAGGCAAGGATGGAGGGAGATAACAATGTGTGTAATTTGGTAAGCATAATTATGCTGGGAGTTAAATCTCTGAGTGAATTGGGTATGCTTGCTGCAAAAGATGGTGGTAATCTTGTGACCATTCTCAATACATCATGGAAAGGTGTGATTACATTGCTTCAGATAGATAAGCAGGCAGTGGTATCTAGGGTAGATGTAGGAGAAATCATATTAAAGCTAATATCACTGATCAAGGAGTCTCTGGGATTTGCTGCTCAGGCTTGGTTTTGCTCGGCGAAGGATAACATATCTGCAACAGAAGCCAGAAGGGTCTTTCTTCCTGTGAAGTTTTATCTTATCAATGCTGTTAAAGTTGTGGCGCTGTTTCCAAGCCAAGCGTCTATGGTGTTCAAGGAAATAGCACTCTGCACCTTGATGACCTCTGCTTTCAAATTTTCACTGAGCCAACAGTCCCATGGCAAATCGGCTAGTGAAGTAATGACAGATCTTCTAGAGAAAACGACTGTAGATCTTCTAAGTGCATTGTTGAACACAGCTGAAATAACACAAGAAGTCAGGATCACGCTTCTTGATTTTTTGTTCATAGATGAACAGGATTTTAACAAACAGAGCCATGATTCTCAGACAAAAGCATCATTGGTAGATGTCTTGCCTTTATCTGTCGAATCCACGACAAGTACCTGCGGTTTGCTCCTGGCCCGGGTTTTACTGTTCCAGTCTGTCATGAGGTATTCTTCGGAGCTTGAGGAAGTTGCAAAACTTGCAATCACCAAAAAGTTGTATTGGCTTCTCGACGTATTAACAGAAAAAGAGGTTTACACTTCAGTCCTTTCCTCTCAGCTTCCAATGTCAGATGGTTCTGGGAAGACAATAATCTGGGAATCAATGTTTTCAGCTCTGCTTCTGTCTCTTAAAACCCTTATGATTATACTGTCTTCAACTCCTGCCTGGGAGGAGCTTGAAACATTCCTACTGCAGAACCTCTTGCATCCTCATTTCTTGTGTTGGCAGATAGTTATGGAACTTTGGTGCTTCTGGGTTCGTCATGCCACTGATGATCTGGTGGCTGCTATGATCGATAAACTTTGTGGTTTCATGATGTCAATGTCAGCATCAGAGACGCCGCTTTGTCCAGATTCCGTTCTCAGAAAAACTACAAAGTCCATCTGCTTTCTTCTTACCCACATCCCCAAATCATTAATAGCTCGGGTCTACACAAACGTTTCTACTGAGAGCAGATCTGACTCTACACCAGATGTATATCTAGCCTTGTTACTAGACGGATTTCCGCTGAATTTTCTGCCAGACAAAATCAAAAACGACGCAAAGAGACAGATATCTGCAGATTTCTTCCACTTCATCAAGAACTTCAATGAGAAACCATCACGTTACTCCAGATACACTGTGCTAGGAGCTCCAGTTTTCGCACTCTCTGCTTGCCTTCGGATACTGTAAGTTACTGTGATATTCATTCTGGACACATCTCTGGGGATCTAGTCACACGAGATAGCAAAACCAGATATTTAGTAATTAAATTGTGTGAGCTTTCAGGGTAAATATTTTACAAATTACCCTTATTTATTTTTGTTGTTTTTCTTCTGTGTAGAAAGATGAGCATGTCAGAGATTGATGCCAAAACTCTCAACTTTATCGTCGCACTCATTCAAAAGTACAGAAGCTCCAGAGATGAAACGACGAAGGATCATTACAGTGACATTCTCAGTGAAACGCTATCAATCATCTCAAGAAACGAGCAGCTATTCACTTGCCAAGAGATGGATAATGTCTTAACAGAGCTTCAAAAGCTTTTCAATTCAGAAACTGATAATCGTCATCTGCATAAATCCAAGCCAAATCTTGCTCTCTTCTTGTCAGGACTTAGCAGATACGAGATGTCTGAAATCGAAACCTGTCCAAAGAGCCGCGCGGTTTGGGAACTATACCACTTGCTTCTGAGAAAACGCCACTGGGTTTTGGTTCACAACGCAGTCACTGCGTTTGGACACTTCTGTGCACGTACAAGCTGTAATCAGCTATGGAGATTCGTACCTGAAGATGCGGCTCTTGCCTTTGATATACCTTTTGGAAAAGAAGCAAAAACAGAGCGGTTCATGTCGGAACTAAAAATATTTTTGGAGAAAGAAGAAGCGCTTCTCTCAATCACACCTTCAGAAGAGGAACTCGAGTTACTTTCGAAAGAAGGCACCAAGGTAAAGGCAACAGTGCAGAAGCTTGTAGAAGGAAGAAGGCAGAGGCCAATGGAAGTAGAGAAACGACGGAACAAGAAAAGGAAACTACCAGAAGGAATATGCAGGGGAATGGAGTTATTGCAGAATGGAGTGAAGAGGATTAACGAGGGTTTAAGCGAGTTGAGGTCAGATGAAAATAGGAGTGAAGAATTCCAAAAGAGTTTATTGAATCAGTTTTCGTGTCTTGAAGATCTGGTCTCTCATTTGTTAAGCCTCACTGCGGCTTCGGACTAAGGTGTGTTCTCAGAACTGTTAGAAAACGATAACTTTTTTCTCTTATATCTCTGGCTTTCTTCTTTTCAAAATTACTTAACAAGACGAGAAGGTGAAATAGTAGCGAATTACCTCTTATCAAAAGAGCTAAAAGATGCGGATAATAAGCAATTCACCACAATTTTTTTTGAAGAAAACCAATGAAAAGTACTTGTTTGTTCATGCCTTTAGACGACAAATTTCACACAATCCATTAAGATCCGAATCTTAATTAGCGTTTCTTGTTATCCCACACTGTTAAATATGATCTCTAAGAAAGAACAAGCACTTGTCTTAATAACACCCACTTTCACAAGAGGACCTTGACAAAGACACGTACGGATTAATTACCACATAAAATTTTGAAAAAAACAAATGCAATGTACATACTTGTTTTGTTCATGTCTCTGGACGACCAAAATCCATTAAGATCCGAATCTCTCTAACTTTGGGTCAAACCACACACTAGTTTTTAGGTAGATTATGGTTTTTGTTTTTCTTAAAATCTAATTTGTTGCCATTTAAGATTTTATAAAATTAGTTCTCTTAAAAAAAATAGGGAATCTACTTTTTATGAGATTTTACTCATCTTCACAGAAAAACCAAAAACCCTTTTTATTGGTTTTTTTCAACGTAAGTGTATTTTTTTTTTCAATTTTCAATTTTTTATTTTATTTTATTTTTTTAATTTTTTTTTTGAACAAAAACCAAAAACTAATTATTTAAAAAATAAAAGCTAAAATCCAGTTTAAAATCTCACTACATTCATGGCCTAAGTGCCAATGGTCAATTTTACTGATTTGCTGGTCAAACCGTATTTATTAGTAATAACCCAACTAAGAAAACTCTTTTGGCAATTTTATCTGATTGGGTAAATTAGTCAAAATGTCATTATTATGTAAGGAAAAAAATGTAGAGCCACTGGGAGATAGATGTTATAAAATAAACTCCAAGGCAGTCTGACTTAAAAATGTATTAACAAAAATGGGAGTTGATCAGCAAAAAGTCAATATAGCTTTCTTGTTCGTGTGTCTTTTGTTTGGTTCGGGTCATGGGAAGATCCCACCCTTCTGGCGCGATACGTTCGTCACGATGACAAACTCGCTTGGCGGTCCACCTCTTACCGTACATTGCAAATCCAAGCAAGACGACCTAGGAACTCACGTGGCGCCTTTCCACCAAAATTACCAATTCAAGTTTCAACCAAATATTTGGAAATCAACATTGTACTTTTGCAGTTTTCAATGGGACAAACAATTCAAATGGTTTGATATATTTGATGCTGTGAGAGATCAAGATGTATGTAAAGATAAATGTAACTGGGATATCAGAGCTAATGGTCCATGCAGGCTCGATAAAAAAGCCCCTACATGTTTTCCTTGGAAGTAGTTGTTTTATATCATATATCTGATGAAAATATGATATAGATGATCAAATTCAATAAAATCAGTTTTTTTGTTTGTTTTTTTTTACAGCATTAATTCAGTAAAATCAATCAATATAAAACATATTATTCGTTATCTTTGGTGTCCAAAATGACAGCGGGATCTTCCTTCCACACAACATCATCATAAGAAAACGCTTTGGCAAAACAAGTAATCAACTGCTCATGAACCACTTCTTCCGAAGGAAGCAGATCATCCGTCTCTCTTTTCAAAGATGTGACTTCCTTATCAGCAATCCCACAAGGCACAATGTGCTCAAAGTACTTCATATCAGGATCTATGTTGAAGGCCAACCCATGACTAGTGATTCCAGAAGATATCCGAACCCCAATAGCACCGATCTTTCTATCCCCAACCCAAACTCCAGTCTCACATTTGTTCCCTGGACGAGCTTTCACGCCATACATTGAAGCAAATTCGATCATTGACCGCTCCAATGTCTCCACATAGTTTCTAGCACCATAACCGATGCCGCGCAAAGAAATGATAGGATATAAGATGGCTTGATGAGGGCCATGGAATGTGATATCTCCTCCTCTTTGGGTATAATGAAGTTCAGCTCCAATCTTAGTGAGTTCAGATTGAGGGATCAGTAGATTGTGATCGGTTCTACGTTTTCCGAGTGTGTAAGTTGGTGGATGCTGAAGGGAGAGGAGGGTATCTGGGATTTGATGAGCTTTTCTCTCGGAAACTAACTTGTCTTGAATTTTAAGGGATTTCAAATAGTTGACAGTGCCTAGCCTCCAAACCTCCAACGTTCTAGGGGATCTCATTTCCTGCACAATTATCATCGAATCCATAACTAATCACTTCATCTCTAGATACTTAGGAAGATTACTAGAGCCAACACAAACTTGGTATTACTAAACGCATGACTAAAACAGCAAAAACAAATTCCAAAAAAGAACAAAAGATAACGTAAAGAAACAAATCTGAGGAGCTAGGATACAAACACAAAAGACAGAGACATGCATAGTTTTCGGTAGTACCAGGTCTGTGAGGCATTTCATCGAACAGTGAACATGCATAGACAAAAACCCGATAAAAACCAATAAAAGTGATCGAATACATCGTACAAGGGTAAGTAATCGCTAAAGTGAGAGACTTTGAAAGAGAAGATTACCGATATCGTTCCAATTCTTCTCCTCCACCGAAGAGTTTTTTGAGAGACAGCTTCTCCACCAGATAATTTCCAGATTTAATAAAACTTCAAAAATCAACGACTTTGCACTTTGTACCCTTAACTTTTCAAATTTCACAAAACTACGCCTTATCTTTAACATATCTCACAAATAATTTCTCTTTTTTAGTTTTAAGAAGAGATAACCCAATAATCCGAACTACAAATATTCCCATGGATGATGATATGATGATGTTTCCATATCCCTTTTGTATTCCAGAATTCAGAAAAAAAAAATACACATAAAAGGGAAAAGATTGTACACTTTCAAAACTTAGTGGGTCTATCTAATTCGAAGAAACAGTTTCAGTTTTCCAAAAGTTTGATCTTCTCGAGACAACTGTTCATCTGCCGAATCTCCTCTTCAGACAAGCTTTTACTAGACTGCTCAAACTTCTCCTTGTCGCACTTCAAGGCCGTCTCTTTACACGCTCTAATGCAACCGCTGATATCTAGCAAGTTTAGGACCACCGGACAGTTTCCGATGCTTTTGACCAACGTGATTGCCGACCACACTTGTCTGTGTTCCTCTCTTGATGATCTTACAATGCATAGCTTCGTGATTGGATTCACGTATTTCACCTGGAAGGATCCCAGAGACGAACCTAAACCACACTCCCCGAAATTGACGAGGATGCTGTCTTTGATCGCTTTGGATAGATTGAACTGTGTAAGAATAATTGGAGTTCCTTCTCCGAGAAGATCCTTGTCTGGATCCAGAAAAACCTCCATTAACATGTATCTGTTCTTAAATCCCACCATGCTTGCTTCCTCAATTTGATACTGAACTAAGCGGCGGCTAAAATAATTCTGAAGACTTTAGGGGTTTTATATGTAAGAATAAGAAGAAGAAGACTATCCACGTGACTCCACGTGACTTAACTAATTAATGGACTTGGGTATTTAAATTTACCCTTATATGGGCCTAGTGAAAAGCCCAGTTCATGTTATCTCCCTTGTGTTGTCGCATTTTCTTCATCGGAATCCCTAGAACAGACACTCGATTTTTCAGCAAAATTCAAATCGAATCAATTTGATCGAGATACTGGGCGTTGAAGATGACGGAGGCGATGATAAGGAATAAGCCAGGAATGGCGAGTGTGAAGGATATGCCGCTGCTTCAGGATGGTCCGCCACCGGGTGGGTTCGCACCGGTACGATATGCTCGCCGGATATCCAATACGGGTCCTAGTGCTATGGCCATGTTCCTTGCTGTTTCTGGTGCTTTTGCTTGGGGAATGTATCAGGTCGGTCAAGGAAACAAAATCCGCAGGTAAGATTGAGAATGCTATAGCGAGATCGCCTTTGCTGAAATTTGTGTTGTGAAGTGATGACCAGAATAATGTAGTAAACAAAAAGGTCTGCTTTTTGGTTATCATTGTTGAAACTTGAGAGGAATCAGCGTGATCAGAGATATTGGTGTATATAATTTAGCTTCTTGTTAGGAATATTTCAGCTTGTGTCTTTCTATAAAGTGTCTAACAATCTGTAAAAACCCCTTAAGCCACATTTGTTAAAAGGTGAACCTGCTATGAAGAAAGGAAGCTTCTAGTTGTTAGTTATTATAGTAGTATTTGGGGATACGGTTTTCTCAGTAGTTAGATTTGGTAGCCGTTAGTATTATATACTTCTGTCAGCTAGCTTTTCAACTAGAATCTTCTTATGCTTTTGCAATGGTTTGCTTCTAAACTAGAAAAACCTTATAATTCTTGTCATGGACATCCTTAACTTCTCATCAGAAACTTTGGATTACATTGTGATGTTAGAAAGTATCAAGTATAAGTGTGTATTCAGATTCAAAGTTCTAATTAACATTGATGTGATGTTTAGGGCGTTGAAGGAAGAGAAGTATGCTGCTCGTAGAACAATACTTCCCATTCTTCAAGCAGAAGAAGATGAAAGGTAATATTCTCAAATTAATTCTTTGTTCCTAGAGCAACCTTCAGGTAGTAAATCTTGTTTCAATCTGCGGTTTGCATTCTTTGTATATATTAGGTTTGTGTCTGAGTGGAAAAAGTATTTGGAATACGAAGCTGATGTAATGAAGGATGTACCGGGATGGAAAGTTGGTGAGAATGTGTACAATTCTGGTCGTTGGATGCCACCGGCTACTGGGGAACTCCGTCCTGATGTCTGGTGATGCATATGATGATGAATGCTTCACTGAGGATTGACATTGTACTTGTTTTATCTTTTTGTCATCGGGTAATAAGAGAATGATTCAACATACAGTATTCTTCTTGTATTGGTTTTGCTGGAACATCAATCTCTGTGTGTTTTTTTCTGTAAGTTTTTCAACCGTAAGATGAGTGTAAAAGAAACAGTTACATCAGCAAGCTTCCCAGAGTGGTGGTTTAGTTTTCGGTTTACGAATTTGGAATTTGGTTTATAAAGACGATAATACAGAACTTGGTTTACTTACGTCAGCTGAAATAAATAAAAAATTCGATTAAACCAAAACCCGGTTTATTATGGTTTCCATGTTTGGCTCTTTACTAACAAGTGTCTGTAACTAATTTGCCTATATCAAACCCAAAAGATATCGTCATCGAAGTTCAAAAGCAAAAATATCTTCTTTCTCTCTCTCCTCCTCCTCTCTCTTCTCTCTCACTGAGCAAACCATGATTAGTGTCACCTCCAAGCTCTCTCTCCTTCCTCCATGCTTCTCTGTCGTTAACTCTTCATCTTCGCGTTCAAAAGGTGCTCAATTTCGTTTTGTCATATCTTCTCTTTGTTGCACTCTGTCTACACACATCCGCTGATTCTTCAATTTTTTTAAAAGACCCGTCTTTACAATATTTCGAGTGCAAACGATCCCTGGAATTCTTCAAAGGGATGGAATTTTATGTTTAGATTCGGAATTTGTTTTGGAACATATTGATTATGTTTGTCGAATGCTTGAACTGGTCTTCCATGGCTGTCACTATCGAGCTGGAACTTTGAAGATAGAATTTTGTGTTAGATTAGTACGTTTTAATGTACTGTGGCAACCTAGCAATTTTATGCTTGAAAATATAGAGAATTTAAGAACAGATTTTGTTTTATATAGCATCGATCTTTGCCTTGTGTATTTTTATTTTCACCCCGGAGCCTGCATGAAGCCTTCTCAAAAGGTTTTTAACGCAGATGTGAATTCAGAGCCAAAAAATAAAGTTAAACTAAGACAAGACTGGAGGGAAAAGTCCAAACCTATCCCACCTGGAGGAACCTATCCAGCTAAAGACCATTGCAGGTTTGTCTTTTTTGTTGTTGTTGTGTGTTTACCTCCCTAATTTTGTTTTGCTCTTATCAAAATGCTTGGTGTTTTAATGGGTTTGCAGTCGGTGTGGGCTGTGCGACACCTACTACATTGCCCATGTGAAGGATGCGTGTGCATTCCTTGGAGATGGAATGTCAAGGATTGAGGTGATGTCTATGGCCTTGATATGGATAAGATTTGCTACAATTTTAATTGATCGCTAAAGATTCTTAGTTTGTTAAAATTTTAAGTTTTTGTACAGAGCTTGGAACCGGTTGTGCATGGTAGAGGAAGGAATGCAGATTCCTTACAAGATACATATTTTGGGGTGCATCAAGAGCAGCTCTATGCTCGTAAGTTGAAGCCTGTTGAAGGTATAAAGACGCTTCCTTACCACTGTTACATTCTCTCGCAATGTCTTTTCTTGGCTCAATCTTTAAGATAAAAAATTGCTTTGTCTTACTGGTTACTCTTTTGTTTCTTTGTATACAATATCATGTACATGAAGCTAAAAGACATTTTGTTTGGATCATAAAAGCCATCTTGATATTGAAAGCTATATAACATTTGCATTTATGTGGTTATATATAGGGATTAATGTCCACCTAAGCTTGAATTGGGATTAGCTTTGTTGTTTACTTTTCCTTCTATCTTCGGTTTCAGGAGCACAGTGGACTGGGATTGTCACAACCATAGCCATTGAGATGTTGAAATCTAATATGGTTGAGGCTGTTGTCTGTGTGCAGAGGTAGCACTGCTGTTGAATTTTTAAAATGGACTAGGCTGACACTTATCAACCATGTTTCAGATTTTCCATCTAATCATGTAACTGATTTATTGAAAACTACAGTGATCCTGAAGACAGATTATCTCCAAGACCAGTATTAGCCAGGTAAACAACTTTCCTTCTGTGGTTTAATTGAGGCCAATTTTCCTCAAGTCTTTGTTTTGATTGTGGATTCATATCCAGTTCATATCCAGTTCATATCCAGCTGTTAATCCATATTCAGCTGTTACTTTGACTTTATAGACCTCATGATGTTTCATTTCTTTTCACTCCAAGGACACCTGAAGAAGTTTTGGCTGCAAGAGGTGTCAAGCCAACTCTGTCTCCTAATCTGAATACTCTTGAATTAATTGAGGTTATCTGCAGAACCCTCTTATCTTGTATGTGTTCGCCAAGTCCATTTTAAATGAAACTGAAAGTTGCATTGTAACAGACTTCCGGAGTGAAACGTCTTCTTTTTTGTGGTGTGGGTTGCCAAGTGCAAGGTATGGATTCAACATACTTTTTCTAAACGTATATTTCAAGTTTCTCCCATACTGTGACTCTCGTAGTATTGTAATGCAGAGTGATTTCTTATACTGCAGCATTGAGATCAGTAGAGCAGCATCTGAATCTGGAGAAGTTGTATGTCCTAGGCACCAATTGTGGTAATCTCCTCATCCTATCTAGATTTGCTAGTTCTCCAGAAACGTCACAACAAGTTCTTGTGTGGTGCTAACATTCCGTGTTGTATATGTTGCTTTGGGGTCTCGTATGCATAGGTCTAGGATTGCTAATCACATGTTTTTAACAAGTAATAATAACATCTTTAATCAATAGTGGACAATGGAACACGAGATGGACTAGACAAGTTTCTGAAAGCAGCTAGTAAGGAGCCAGAAACTGTTCTTCATTATGAATTTATGCAAGATTATAAGGTCAGCATTAATATGAAACCATTACTTATCTTATCTGAGCTTTTCTTTGGCAATGCTAATCCTGTTCAACTTCTCTTATAGGTCCAACTCAAACACTTGGACGGACACATTGAAGAGGTATAGTCGCTTAAAATAATGTGTTGTTCTGCAATGTTGCAGCTTAAAGCCGTTTTAATTTTATTTTGGCTATAACAGGTTCCCTATTTCTCTCTACCAGCAAACGATTTAGTAGATGTCATAGCTCCATCATGTTATAGGTAATACAAGTCTTTTCATTGGTGCTATACCTTGAAAATTGAAATAGACGAGCTATTGGAAACTTGTAAAAATTGTCTACAAACCTTTTTTTTTTTTTTTTTAAATGTCTGCAGCTGCTTTGATTACACAAATGCATTAGCGGTGAGTGTCTCTCTTGCAATTAAGATGTCTTTCCACTTATTTTTGAGTCTGCCAATTCCAAACATTTCCTTAAAGTGTATGTTCTTCTTAATCTAGGATTTGGTTATCGGTTACATGGGTGTTCCGAAGTATTCAGGTGTGAACATGACTGACCATCCACAGTATATTACAGTGAGGTCAATATTTCTACTTATTTACAATGGACCATATAGGTTTGCCAGGTTGGATAAAATTAGTTTTGTTCATGCCTTAAAACCACAGAAATGAACGTGGGAAAGAAATGCTCAGCTTGGTAGAAAACCTTTTGGAGATCACTCCAACAATCAGCAGCGTAAAATTTCTAACCTTTTTGTTTCTTATTATATTTAAGACTTAGGAGTCAGTTTAACATGGTTTACAAAAAAAAAAAAAAAAAAAGGAATCAGTTTAACATAAAACTAAAACAAACACATCTTTTTGCTACTGTTTCAGGGTGATCGACGACCTTTTGTGACAGAAACCGTCAAGGCAGACGATGATGCTAAGTTTGGTATGTTTTCAAACTTATTTGTTTCTTGACATCTTCTAGTTCAAGCTATGCTACATCCCAAAAAGTGATTTCTTATGAAATGTTTGCAACTAACATTGTGCTGTAGTCTTCTAATTTTTCTAATTTTCTATAATTCTTAGGTCGAGGTCCTGCTCAGCCAGCACCGCTATTTGTTGGAAACATTATTGCGTTCATCCTAAGTTTGGTAAGCTTCTTTTGAACACAAACAGGGAAGCAAGTTCATTGTATATAAAGGCAAGACTCTCTTAACGTGCAAAAGCATATGCTTGCTTCAGGTTGGTCCTAAGGGACTAGAATTTGCGCGGTACTCATTGGATTACCATACCATCAGAAATTATTTACATGTAAACCGCAAATGGGGAAAACAGAGGTAAAAATCTGAAGCACACTCTTATAGATAAACGTTCATACTAACTGTGTGTTTTCTGTATTATCGAATCGCCCTCTAATAACCAAAGATGCATTATCATCTGCAGAGCCGACAGCCACATGCCATCATATGCCAAAAAGATAGTGGAAATGTACAACAAAAACGGCCAAATAGATCAAATGATCTCCAAGAAATGAACGATATAGGTCATCTCATGTAAGTTTGCAAGTGTATATTCCATCCATCCAACAGTGTGTAAATGTACATTGGTCCTACTGTTTCTCAACTTGTAGTATGTTAGTAATATCCAAAAGTATTTCCCTCGTGACTTTGGTAAGACACCGGCAAGAAAAGATGGGTCGGTTTGGTGTTTTCTGACATAGAAGAGAGAATAAGAAACAGTCTAAATCAGCGGCTGAATCAAAAGGAAACCCCATGTGGTTTCCGTCCTCCATATCTTTAGGTTAAGGTGATGTCTGAGTAAAAGGTTGCAGGGTTTTGCATGAGAACATGAATAACTGTTTTAAGAGGATGGGAACCAGACATTTACACAGTTGGGGGGAATTAGCTTTTAATGTTTTTGTTTGCACAGAGAAGAAGGAACCATTGTTTTACTTCACTCACTCATCAGTCATCACCATAATTCAAGAATAGTAAACTGCAGAAATTTGCTCTTCTTTTTTTGTCCTTTAGTTTGTCAATTCTCTGTTCTGCTGGTTCAATGACTTTGCTGCAGACTCTCTCAGAACCTCAAGTGAAACTCATAAATGTCCGGTCTTTGGCACCATAGTTTGTATTATATTCAACAGAGACTTGTCCATATACAGAGTATATAAACGTTTTTGTTTCTCTATTCAGTGAAATAAAGCTTACCTTCAATAATTTTTTAACTGCAATTTGACTGATCAAAAATGTTGGTCAATGCATATTTTCGGAATTGTATCCGTTTTCAAAATATATATCATATGTTAACATATGATTTCATTAATACATGTTATGGACAAGATAAACTATCAAACATATTCTAATTATTAATTATAATCTTAATTAGATACTCATGTTTTTCAGTGAATGTAATAAATCTTTGGACAATAAAAATCCATTTGTCTACAAATTCATAATCCCTAATGGATTTTGCATATCTTGGATAAATGCATGTTTTTATTTTATCATTAAATGCATGTTTTTTTTTGTACTATACAACATTTTATTTTGCTTTCCTGGGATAGTGGGATTTGAGTACTCATGAGAAAATCTGTTATATGGATGGTCTACGATAATCATGTGTAATCTCAATCATTTGCCAAAATTAAATCATTACGAAAATGGCTAATAATTCCTAAATCACTAAAATAACAGCTCTAACTTGTGAGAGTTATTCTTCCAATAATAATGAAACAGCATGAAATTAGTTGTTTCTTCTCCATTTTCCTAATCAACAACAAAAAAAATGATAAGAGATAACCCTTAGAACATGCATGCATCACCAGGATTTACAAAAACCGTAAAATATTTGTCATATTAGATTAAGCAAAACTTCTTACAGAGTTCAAAATCTAAAATGAATAAGGAAAAACAAAACAAACAACAAAAATATAAAAAGGCATTCTCAAAATAAAATAAACATATATATAAATAAGCCACATCTTCCTAATAAACAAAGAAAAAAAAATCCCCCAAATTTTTTTCTTTTCACAATTCTTTTTTTTTCTTGGGTTTTTTTTTGGTTCTTCCAAGGAGAGGGCTTAATTATCTTTTTTTTTTTTTTTTGGTTGGGTTTGAAATCCATTATAATAAATATTTCCTAATAGTATTGTATTTTATTTGAAAGATGATTTAGAAATGTGAGATACATCGACGATGACGAGCAGCAGCAGTTTTCTTCTGTTGCTTAGATTCTTCTTTCCATCTGTTAGCAATGTCATGAGCCACACTCATCGCATCCAGCGACGCACCGAACAGCCCTTTTCTCGTGAACCCTACCGCATACAATCCTGCCTCTCCTTTCCATCCGTTTGGAAACGGGTTCTTTGGTATCCCATCATCCGAGAAGAAGTCATTGTCCTGTAAAAATATATTGAATCCAGCACCAAAATTAGTACACCCCAACATTTTTATTAATCAGTCAAAACATCATAGTCCTAACTGTCATTACCGGACCATTATTTCTATATCTCTAATAACCAAAATTTAGATATTAAAAATAAAAACTCGTACCACGATTTTTGTATCCATTTCGATGAAAATATAAATGTAAATATATATTATTTTTCCTTTCAAATTTGTATTTATTGTTGGTCACATTCGAAACACAATTTGAGTCGGGTTTTCACTTAACTCGGACCGGGTCGGGTGGGTATTTGTGGTTTTTTCTTCCGACATCATTAAATGTCTAAAATTTAAGCTATATCTTTTTTTAGACGAAAATAAGGAAAGATGTAGTTTTGTGTTTTAATTACCTTAAGCCATGAAGGGACGTTGCTTCTGTACCCGGTAGCTAGAATAACGGAATCAATCTCAAGAACACGGCCATCGACTAACTCGACTTTTCCTCTTCCGAACTTTATGATTCCGGGGACGATTTTGATCTTTCCCGATCTTATTTTAGGCAATGCTCCGATGTCGAGTACCGGAGTTTTCCCTTCCTTGTTCTTTAGCTCTAACGGCCCCATTTTTGGCCTTTTTAGACCGTAATTGTCGGTGTTCCCCAAAACTATCCTCGCCAGAAGGAGCAAGGTCTTGTCCGCGAGCCAAACCGGCATATACTTCATCATCGTTACTCCCAACTCAAACGTTGATTTCCCAAATATCTCTCTTGGTAACACATGAACCTGATAGATCAAGAAGAAAAAAGCAGAGTATTAGATACTAGTAAAACAGAGGATGCTCTGCTTTCGAATGAAAAGAGTAGAACTTTCTGGTACTTACGGAACTACGAACGACCATCGATGGGTTTGCTCCGTGGTTGTAGAGATCGAGAGAGACTTCCATACCGGAGTTTCCACATCCCACGACCAAAACCTTTTTCCCTTGGTACCTTCCACCGGATTTATAGTCACCAGCATGGAGAACATCGCCCCCAAAATCCTCTAGACCTTCGAAATCTGGCACAACTTTCTCAGCATTCTCTCCCGTAGCCACCACAATCCACCTGCAGATATACTCAAACTCGCAAGAACCGAGCTGCCCCATCTTCGAAATGGTTTTAACCCGCCATAGCCCGAACGTCTCGTCGTATTTAGCGGACTGGACCGTTTCGTTAAACTTAGGGCTGATATCGAAGTTGGCTGCGTAGGCCTCAAGGTACTGAATAAACTGAAACTTGGTTGGGTACTCCGGGAACTCATCCGGGAAAGGATAGTTTGGTAACTGGCAGAACTGTTTGGGGAGGTGGAGTTTGAGACGATCGTAGGTTCTGTTTTGCCATAAAGAAGCAATGCAGTTAGCTCGCTCGAGGATTATGAACGGTACTCCTTCACGTTTCAAGCCCGCGGCTACGGCCAGACCTGATGGACCAGCTCCTACGATGACCGGACCGTTGACCCAGATGCAACGCCGCGAGAAAATGTCGCCTTCGGGGATGAAGTTTTGGAACATACTCGAGATGTTGATAGACTTCTTGTTATTATTTCCATACATCTTTCACAGAGTACTTTAGAGTAATTTGCTTGTCTGGTTCTGCTTCTGAGAAGAAAAAGAGAAGAACTTTTGAGAATGTGTGAAAAAGGAAAAAAAAATATCAGATATTGGAAGCTTTTTAGGACAAGAGGATGGATATGTAAGTGTATGTGTGTGTTTTGTTGGATTGAAGAAGGAGATGTATAAATAGGGAAGAATGACTTAGAGCAAATTGGTATTTGTAAAATTAGAAAATATTGTTAATATTATTATTATAGTTTAGCTTCTGAATGTTATTTATATATCTCAGATGATAAAGCTTGCAGCCCACCATTATTTGTTTATTTTTAATTTCTCATATGTTCTACTTATTGGTATTAAACTAATCCTCGTCCAACAAATACAATAATTTAGTCACAAGAAAAGTGGTTCAGTATTTTGCATGAAAATTTTCAGTTACGTATACTGTGAAGATTAACTCTTTTAACTAGTAAAAGATCTACCAAAATATTTAAAATGTTCCGGATGTACTAAAATGGCCTCTCTAATTAACTCTTCAACGAGATCGAAAATAATAGTTTTTGGCTACAACGATATACTAAATAGGTTATTAGTTAAGATATGAATCCAAAGCGTATTGAGATTTGAGAGAAGAGACATAACTTACGATATACACTTGTGAAGAGAAAAAAAGCACGATAATTTAATTTTGATGTCAGGTTGCTGTGAACGTGGGAATCATCATTAAGGGTAAATAAAAAGTGTTACATATATATACATATGTTGCTTATATGATCGATTACGCTGAAGAGACATGACAACGCATTTTGCTACACGATCATGTACATACATAAACATGAAAGGTCCATCGGGACTTGGGATTTTCTATTGTTGCTCCTCTTTGGTTTTATTTTGCTCCTCTTTGGTTTTGTTTTGACCCACGTCCAGTGCATGCATCAAAATTATTTAACGGTTATACAAATTTGAATTGAGAAATGTTTACAGAATTACGTTTATTCACGTTTTGACGCATTACAACGTAGAGTTTATGCACAAAAAAAATGTAATGGAAAAAGAATTAAGATGAAAAACATAGATCACTTCTTATTTTATTTTCCTAGAGATAGTTTTATTATAGTAATTGTTTTTGCAGGTAGATAAAAATTAGATTTAATCGATTCGATCATATAAGCTAATTATACTAGCTAGCTACTATTATTCATAAAGGGATTAAATAATTTGAAGTGGAATTGATGCATAGATATATCATACGGAGTATATATTATATATGGCTAGTTGTCGAATTTGAGGCAACGTGGATAACCTCCATCAGGTGTGGCTACACATCCCACAGACTTCCCCAATCCACAGACGAGAAATTAACTATTTTCATAAATAAACAAATTGAAAATGTAATATATACCACCCTGAACATATGTACATACACCCTCTACATATATTAAATAAAAACCAAGTATTAATGATTTGTATGTTTTGAGTTTTCTGCTTGACGTATGGGTCAACACAGATATCGCCACATCAAGATATCTTGTGTTCATGAGAAAAATAAAGAGTAATATTATTATTTTGTAATTAGTGATAAACTGCATCTTTTTAATCCTTAATACGAAAATGCCTTTCTTAACTTCACACAGATTTTGGTTAGTATGGGGTTGTTGATAAATTTAAAGTTGTTGACATAATTAATAATTTTCCATCCTAATTAATTATATGACCGAAACATCATCAGATGACTGAACGGTTTAATCCAAACTGCCAAAGAATTTGTAATTTGATACACATATTATAAGGGGAAATATATTGTACCTTATATATATATATATGTATATAGATATAATTTGAATAATCTAATTTGAATAATACACAAGCAGTTACACCCGTTTAATAAGACCTTCATAGCAACATACATGCGAATAGAATCTTAACTTTTTAATAGAGAAACATTTGTATTTTTCTTCTAGGTGGTGATTACCGAAGATAAAATGTAATCAAGATCCAATGAACCTATGTATATTTATAGTATAATATATTTGGTTGTTAAGACATTCATTGGGATGTTGCATATATTTCCAAATTACATGTACAAACTTATTAGAATAAGCAACATACATGAACGTTCGATCGAACAAAATTGAACTTATAAAAAACGGATGAATAATTAACGGAACGAATAGCACGATGTGATTTTTCAAAACTCCCATTTGATCAAATCCGGATTCTACTGAGAAGCTAAAATGTTTTACACCACTTATACATATTGAAGAAAAAACGTTATAACTGTTCTAAACTTTATCAACAGTTCCTTTTTTTGTTTTTAAAACTTTAAAGTGACAAGAATTCTTTATTTTTAAAAAGAAAAGAATATGCACTTACATATGAACGTAAAAAAGTGTAGAATAAAAATGCAGCAATCTAGAGGAGAACCAACATGCGCTTGCGTTGGCAGAGAATTTTGTGTGTATTTAACTTTAATTTTCCAAACATAATCGGATAATTAAGAAATTAACTAGTAAATCGAATATAGAAGTTCTCGAGGATATTCGTAAGTTCTTACCCTTTAGTTTCACCGACCATTCATGTACAATTAACAATATATCAGACCTCGTTTACCAAAAAATAATATCGCAATTCAAAAACCGTAAAAGAAACATACTCCATTTACAAGAGTACTGAACATTTTCTTGGAATGATACACAATTGTTTTGGTTAATTTGATGCAGAGATATAGAGAGAATCGAAATGGAAGGCGTGTTCCATTCTCGTTGATTGAGAGAGATCACAAAGTGAGAAGTGAAATCTAAAAAGATTTGGGGAATTGATCACATTTATCATATTCCAAGACTTGGGTAGTGGTGTGGTCTCATTTCCTAGAAACCTCGAGAGTTAACATTAATGCACCGATTTACACATATTTTAGCATTTTTGCGGTATATATGTTTGGTGCACTGTTTTGGGTTACGTGCATACATGATACGTGCCATTTGCCCCATATATGTTACTATGTATGTACGGTACATAATATACGATACTATATATGCATACCAATATGTTACGCACCACGCTTCCGTTTTCATATAAATCTTCATAAAACGTGTATGTATTTATGGTAAGGTCCCAATCAGAGTTGCAAGAACACAATACACAAGTTTTGTTGAATGGGTAGTTATGACTACCTCTTTTTGGCTTTTCTTATATTTATATCAAAACATCATACAGAAAGAACTATTGAGTTCTAATGAGATAAGGAGAGATTAAGATAACACCAATCCTAACTTAACTAAGAATTATCAAAGCAAAAGGAAATTATAAAACCAAAACCGAAAACTAAAACACCAAAGCTCCATAACCGCCTAATCCATGTATCGCGGATTAGGCCTTCTTTCTCGAACGGGCCGACTACCACGTATAGGCCCATCAATACCCTCCCCACGAACAATAACCTTGTCCTCAAGGTTCAAAATGAAATCCGGAAAGCTGGCGTGAACCTGCTTCTCCTCCTCCCATGTAGCATCTTCCGGAGAAAGGCCTTTCCATTTGATTAAGAGCTCGGAATGCGATGTGGTCCCCGTCGCAACTGATCGCCGACGTAAGACTTGCTCCGGCTGTAAGTGCAAATAGCCACTCTCTCGTAACGGCGGAAGAGCTCCCGGCGCCGGCATTGTCGTTCCCACATGCGGCTTAAGTAGAGAAACATGAAAGACTGGATGTATTCGGGACCCGGAAGGTAACTTGAGACGATAAGCCACTTCACCAACCCGTTCCTCGACCTGAAAGGGTCCAAAATATTTATGTGCAAGCTTCTGCGACGTCCGGCGTAACACTGACCGCTGCCGATACGGCTGGAGACGAAGGTAAACCCAACTGCCACATTCCAAAGTAACTTCTCGACGTTTTGCATCGGCCAACTGCTTATTCCGGTTATTAGCCTTATGTAGCTGGTGTTTTAACTCGGAAAGGAGCTCATCGCGAGAAGCGAGTTGCTCATCGATCTCTGCGAGCGTCGAAGAACCGACGTCATACTGTGGAATCGCAGGCGGTGGCCGACCATATAGAGCTTGGAAAGGAGTAGTACCCGTCGACGAATGATACGAAGTATTATACCAAAACTCGGCCCAAGGAAGAAGAGAACTCCATTGTGTAGGGCGGTTCTGAACAAAACAACGTAAAAACTGCTCGATACACCGATTAACCACCTCTGTTTGACCATCCGTCTGTGGATGATAGGCGGAAGACATCCGCAACTTTGTACCTGCCAATTTCCAAAACTCTTTCCAAAACAAGCTCACAAAAATGGGATCGCGGTCACTGACAATTGACCGGGGCATACCGTGTAATTTGACAATATAATCAACAAATTTAGCTGCGACGACCTTAGCCGTATAGGGGTGAGCCAAGGGAACCAAATGAGCTGAATTTGTCAACCGATCAACCACTACCATAATTGTTGTATGACCATTCGAACGAGGTAGTCCATCCACAAAGTCCATGGAGATATCCTCCCAAACTTGATCCGGAATAGGTAATGGTTGGAGAAGCCCGGCCGGTGCAAGAGAAGTCGACTTGGCGCGTTGACAAATTTCACACTCAGCGACGTACTGTTTGACGACCCGGTGCATAGCTGGCCAGTAAAACTGTCGAGCCAAACGTTTGTAAGTCCGTAACACACCGGAATGCCCCCCCATAGGCGTGTCATGATGCTCCTGCAATAGTTGAAAAATTATCGGGGAAGAAGAAGGTATCACCACACGGTTCTTGTAACACAACAACCCATCCCGCCATGAGTAAGGTTCTCCCGGTTTAGCCGTAGCTAACTTCGCCACACGCTGCATATAATCATTTGTCTTGGTCAACTCTCGAATGTCATCCCATAACGACGTATGTTGAACAAAAATGGCTTCCAATGTTGGGCTCCCCGTGACTCTAGATAAAGCATCTGCCACCATATTGGCTTTACCGGGTTTATACGTAATCTCATAATCATACCCGACTAATTTACCCATCCATTTATGCTGCTCCGGGGTCAAAATCCGTTGTTCCAAGAGGTAACGTAAGCTCCGCTGATCTGTTTGAATAATAAAGTGTCGTCCAATCAAATA